TTCTAGAGATATGAAGAATGATATGATGTGTGGCTGTAAAGGGGCCTTAAAATTTCTCGCGCTAACGCGGATTAAAACATGGAAGTAATAAAAGCATGGCAGTGGTGTGAAATATGTGCTGTGAAAGTGGGTGGAAATGTCATGATAATAATGTCATGGAGGAGATGTAGTCATCGCAGCCACTACCACGGTACAGAGGTCGTGCTACGGATGACCTCGAAATATCGGGCGAAAGCTATGAACATCTTTTAAAAATGTGAGAAGTGTATGTAGCGTAAAAAGCAGATTCCTACCGATGAGCATCCCAGGTTGTAGTGCGAGCTGTTGTTGGTAGGGCAGTAAAAATGCTTTTTCCTTAGAGCATCAAGCTCATTGCACTGGACGAAAATATGGAGAACCGTAAGTGGTTTTCCATATCTCTCACAATAGGGTGGATTGCCGGTAGACAAGAGATATTATTGTGTAGAGTATGTATGTCCCGTTCTAAGCCTTGTTAGTGTTACTTCTGTGTGTCGTGATTTCGATAGTGGCCGCCAATACCTAGTTGCGGCTTAATAGCATAGAGTGTACTGTCTGTGTGTTTATCCCACGTGCTCTGCCAATACCTTCTGTGCTTTCGTTTTAGAAAAGGTTTTAGGTCAAGTGCAGGGATTGGTATTGATGCATTGGGAGTGGTGTCGTTGGCGGAAGCAGCCAGCTTGTCGGCCAATACGTTCCCTTGTATTTCACGGTGTGCTGGAACACAGCAGACAACGACGTGCTGTTTTGGTGTGTACAGTGGGCACAGAAGTGAGTAAAGTGACACCAGCATGGAGTTCTTGTGTTTTTTAGGAGTTTTCAGGGCTTTTACCACGCTTAAGAAATCTGTGTATATTACCGCCTTTTGTAATATTTTCTGTTTGATGTGTTTTACGACCGCCAGTATTGCGTAAGCTTCTCCTGTGAAAATGCTTGCATCAGGATGAAGAACGCCGGCCTTGGAAAAGGATTGGCCTACCGCAGCATATGATACAGAAGTGTTTGACGTTGACGCGTCGGTAATGAACTCAGGATATGTGTATTTATTTTGTAGTTCTAGGAAGTTTGCAATCAATTTTAAGTTGTCGCATATGACTACATCTACGGCATCAGAGCTTGCTGCTATAAGGGCTGCTTTACAATATCTCGTTCAAGAACGTCCGGGAAAATGGGTCATATTCTGTGATTCGAAGGCAGCGCTTCAGAGTTTGCAGTCTGCCATGCGTAGAAAGAGCCATGACCAACTGGTACAAGAAATATGACATTGCCATCATGAAGCTCTAGCACGAGGGCTAGACATTATATATCAATGGCTGCCTGGACATATCGGTATTACCGGAAATCAATTAGCCGATGATGCAGCCCGCTCAGCCCATGAAGAAACCCGTGTAGTCCCGATTCCTCTATCAAGGAATGATGGAGCAAGACAACTTTACCTGCTGGCTCGAGATCTCACACGCACGTTCTGGTCGTCTACCAGCTTCCAAAGGTGTCAATTTTATGAACTGGATCCTTCGCCCAAGCTAAAGCTACCATCACAACTTTCCCGCTCCGATGCGACACTGTTATGCCGCCTTTGGTTGGGTGTTGCATTCACAAAGGTGTACTCCTTTCGCATTGGTATGGCAGACACTCCTACATGCGACTACTGCGGAGATGAAGAGACCATCGAACACGTCCTGTGCAGCTGCGCTTGCTACGACACACAGCGATGCCAGCTACGGATGGTTTTGAATCGACTTGACCCCGGAACATTTTGTGTGCAGAAGATTCTAGGACCTTGGGCATCTGCCTCAGTTGCGCAGAAAGCAACTAAAGCACTGCTACTTTACCTTAAATCAACAAACCTGAGCGACCGCCTGTAAACTGTGTGTGCTCCCCGAGTGTGCTCGTGATTGTGTGTACCTTCTCATCTTTCTGCAACCTCTTTTCTCCCCTTTATCCCTTCCCCAGTGCAGGGTAGCAAACCAGATGTGCGTCTGGTTAACCTCCGTGCCTTTCCTTGTGTCTTTATCTCTCTCTCTCTCTCTCTAGGAAGTTTGTATGTATGTGTGCAAGTGGTGCGTGTTTTGTGACTTCAACAAAATAAACATCACAGTCTATAAGCTGCCACTGCCACGGTGGCAGATATGTTGCAGGAGCCATCAAAATGTGTTTGAGAAGAGGCACACCTGTTTCTTCGGCCAGGCCCCTTACACGGAGCGCGTAGGGCTGCCTAAACGAAGGACGGTTCTCTAACAAGCAGAACAAGACAAATTAATAATAGTGAAATAGGAAGAGTGTTTCTTGTTTGCCTTCACCATCAAAAAGTGCAAAAAAGACAGGAAACATCTTTGTAGGTGGAGCGACCATTCATTCGAATCCACATACAGGCATTCCGCAGGGCTAGTTCGGAAAGCACGCGTAGAAAGGCGAATGCCTAGATGGTGGACAGTGACGAGAATCAAGGCTGATTGTGTTGTCGACTGATAGATTATAGCAACGTAATCTAGGCGTGTGCGTACGAGGCTTTTATATAAATTCAATAGACATTTCGTGGGACTACCCCATGTAGTGCGTGACAAGACTTTCAAAATGTTCATTGTTTTTAAGCACCTGTCCTTTAAATACTTGATGTGTGGGATGAAGGTTAGTTTGGTGTCTAATAGGAGACCAAGAAACTTGTGCTCGGTCTTCACTTACAGCGGTGTACCATGCAGATAAATGTCGGGGTCAGGATGGAGGCCCCTCTTACCGCTGAACAAGACACAGGTGCTTTTTTGCGCGTTGAGTATAAAACCATTCTTATTTGCCCATTGAGACATCTTGTTCAAACCTAGTTGAACTTGACGCTGGCACATTGAGATGTTGCACGATTTGTAACCAATCTGCACATCATCGACATATGTGCAGTAAAAAATATTACGTGGGAGAGACAGGTGCAAGGAATTCATTTTAACTATGAAAAGTGTGCAGCTCAATACACCTCCTTGTGGTACTCCGGTTTCTTGGACAAATACTCGAGATAGGACTGTGCCAGCTCGCACACGGAATGCACGGTTGGACAGGTAGCTTTCGATAATTGTCAGCACTCTACCCCGCACACCTAAATGTGACAGGTCTCGCAATATGCCAAAGCGCCATGTAGTGTCATACGCTTTTTGTATATCGAGGAACACAGAAAGAATAAATTGCTTATGAACAAAAGCGTCGCGAATGTGTGCCTCGATACGGTCAAGGTGGTCAGTGGTGGACCGAGCCTCTCTAAACCCACACTGGTATGGGTCAAGTAGGCCATTCATTTCAAGGAAATGCATTAGGGGCCTGTTCATTTTTTCAAAGACCTTGCAAATGCAGCGGGTTAATGCTATGGGCCTGTAGCTGGAAACTGAGGCCGGGTCCTTGCTTTGTTTTAGGATTGGGATAATGATAGCTTCCTTCCAGATTGATGGTAGCTCGCCGGAAAACCATATCGCATTATACAGAGAGAGGAGAGCTTTCTGGGTTTCAGTGAGTAGGTGTTTTAACATTTCATATGCCACACGGTCCGGGTCTGGTGTAGATTTATTGCAGCAGGTAAGCGAGGCTTGTAGTTCAGCCAAAGAAAAAGTTTCGCTGTATGCCTCATGTGTTGCGGGCTTGCGCTCTGATGTCTGTTTATCTATTGCGGTTTTGTATCGTCGGAACAGTTCACTATAGTGTGTTGAGCTGGAGACCTGTTCGAAGTGCGCCCCAAGAGTGTTTGCCTGGTCTTCTAAGCTCTCCCTTTGTGTGTTCACTATAAGAAGTGTGTGTACTTGTCTTCCTGCTACCTTACTAACCATGTTCCAGACTCTCGCCTCATCTGTGTATGAATTAATGTCTGATAAGAATTTATGCCAACTTTCTCTTCTCGCCTGTCGGCACACCCTCCTCCCTTGCGACTTGATCTTCTTAAAGTTTATAAGATTCTTGGCTGTAGGCGAGTCTCTAAGCAATTTCCATGCCTTATATTGTTCTTTGCGCGCATTACGGCAATCATTATTTCACCATTGGACTCGTCGTTTTCCTGAAGGTCTACATGTTTTTGGTATACAATTCGTTGCAGCATCAATAAAAAATGCTGTCAGGTAGCTCACAGCAGCTTCTACGCTTAACCCCTCCATGTCAGTCCAAGTTCGGAGAGTCATTTTTTGATACTGTTTTCTTCCGGCTTTGTCGGCGAGCCATTTGGGAACCTGTGCAGGACATATATTTTTTATTGATTTGCTGATAACGACAGGAAAATGGTCACTGCCGTATGGTATATTATTGACCTTCCATTTAAGTAGAGGCAGGAGTGATGGAGGTGTTATGCTGAGGTCTATGGCTGAGTACGTATTGTTAGCTGTGTGGTAATATGTTGGCTCTTTCCAATTCAGAAGGCACGCACCGGAAGAAAAAGAAAGTGTTCAATCAGGCGACCTCGAACATCGCAGCGAGAGTCACCCCATAAGCTACTATGAGCATTAAAGTCTCCTAGGACGAGATACGGTTCTCGAAATTGTGCTATCAGCGACTGAAACTCGTGTTCAGCAAGTTGATAGTGTGGTGGTTTGTATATACTGCAAATTGTTACCAATTTGTTGAAGATGACTGCTCCGACAGCTACTGCTACCAGGGATGTCTGAAGGGGTAAACATGTACAGGCTGTTCCTTGAGCAACAATTATGGCAACATCACCGGATAAGGCGGCAGCATCATCTCGGTCCTTTCGAAAGATAGCGTAATTGCGAAGACAGTTAGTGTGTCTTGATTTTAAGTGTGTTCCTTGCACACACAGCAGTTTTGGTGTAAGTTTGTGTAGAAGTTCTTGGGTATCGTCGAGGTTCCTCAGTAGGCCTCTGACGTTCCACTGTATTATAATTTTCATTTTAAAGATGTGTGGTGCTGTGTGTACCAGAAGTGTCACTTCAGGTTACAGGGCCTTTTGGGGCCCCGTAATTTGACGTTTTTCTTTATAGGCGCGCTCCAAAGAGTTGCGCCTATCCTTCGGTGTCTGAGGCGCCAAAGAAGTGGGACTTGTATCCATCACCTCCTGCGAGGTGGCGAATGGTGCCTGTTGAGCAGGCACATTCACAGAAGTTTTGGATGCAACTGCAGGTGCAGTAGTCCGAGGTACAGCAGACTCTGAAGTCTGCTGAAACTGTTTGGCAAAAGGCGGAGCAGCACAGGCTACTCCAGCCGTGGGCGCAGACGCCGCGACCATAGTCACACTCTTGTGACATTCGCAGACGCGGAAAGGTCTGGCACGGCGCCCTGGCGCGTCACATCTGGAAGAGAAGGAGAGTGCTTGTTATGGAAGGAGAAGCGCTGGCGTGCCTCTTGAAAAGACAGATTGAATTTAACTTTGAGTTGAAGAATTTGTTTTTCCCTTTTCCAGGATGGGCACGTTCGTGAGTAGGCGGAATGGTCTCCTTCACAATTCGCACAGCGGGCTGCAGCAGTACAATTATCCGATGGGTGTTCGTTGGAGCTACAGTTTGCGCAAGTCGCACGCCCTCTGCAGCATTGCGAACCGAGTCCAAAGCGCTGACATTTAAAACACCTACGAGAATTTGGTATGTAGGGCCTCACTAGAAACTTGCAGTAGCCGGTTTTGATTTATACGGGTAAATCGCTAGTACCAAAGGTGATGATTATATGTTTCATTGGTGTTTCTTTTTTGTCTCGTCGTACTACTATTCTTTGAACCTTCACTACATTCTGGGCTTGCCAGCCTTCCAATAATTCACTCTCTGATAATCCGAGAAGGTCGTCATCAGAGATGACACCGCGGACTGTGTTCAAGGACCTGTGGGGGCCTACGGAAACTTGGACATCCCCAAATGCTACCAGTTTAGGTGGATTGTCATATTGCAGCTTGTCGCGAACCTCCAAAAGGAGGTCGCCGCTTCCTAACTTAGTTACACGATATCCTGGCCCGATTGCTTCTGTGAGTGTTTTTGAGACAAGAAAGGGTGAGATTGCTCGGACTCTTTTGTTTTCTTTCTGGCTATGTATGACCTGAAACTTACAGAAAGACTGCTTTGGTTTCGAAAGGAGGAACGGGTCTTCGGTGTGCCACCTTTCCGGGTGGCGATCAGGGAGAGGGGGTAAAAATTAGCCATACAGTTTGTTTAAAATTCGGCGGCGATTGTGGCCACCCACCACCGAGCCCAACAAGGGGACGCTACAAGGGTGAATAGTAAAAACTTGGAGACGCCAGCCATGCATCGCCGCTATAACCGAATATAACTACCCAAGGTTGGGTAACTACACAAGGTTAACACTTGCCGCCCAGAGGATGGAAGTAACCAGAAGTGAGGAGATGACAGGAAAGATTGAGAAAGATAAAAAAACGAAGATCAGGGGAGATAGAGAGACAGCAAAAGGTGGGTGCCGATTTCCCCTGGGTGGGTCAGCCAAAGGGTGCCGTCTACGTGAAGCCGGGGCCAAAGGGGTGCGTTGCCTCTCCCGGGGCGCTTTGAAGGTCCAATCACCTGACGTCGGCACAACCCCCAGGATCCCCTTTTCCCCCGGACACGGCAAAGCCATGCACGGCTATGCGTGGGAGGGAGTAGAAACTTTCCCGTTAGCTCGGGTCCATGGTGTCGCTACACACCAAACGCCTACTTGCGCAGGCGCCCCTGTGGGACTTCCAAGGTTCTGGTGCACTTCTTCTTTAAAAACTTAATGTGTGGTACGAAGGTTAGCTTGGTGTCCACAAGTAAGCCTAAGAGTTTGTATTCGGCATTAACAGACAGGCGTTGACCATCCAATTGAATGTCAGGGTCCGGGTGAGTGCCTCTCTTTCTAGAGAACAAGACACGCGTGCTTTTTTGGGGGTTTAATCGGAATCCGTTTTCATCCGCGCATTGGCAGACATTGTTCAAGCCAAGCTAAACCTGCCGCTCACAAACTATTAGGTTACAAGACTGAAATCCAAGCTGGACGTCATCGAAATATGTACAGTAAAACATATTTTGTGGGATGAAATGACGCGAAGAATTCATTTTGACAATAAAAAGAGTACAGCTAAGTACACCACCTTGCGGCACTCCTGTTTCTTGGACAACTGTTAGGGAAAGAACGCTGCCGACTCTGACACGGAAAGTACGATTGGACAAGTAGCTTTCGATAATAGTAACATACTGCCACGCACACCAAGATTGGAAAGGTCTCTGAATATTCCGAATCTTCATGTCATATTCTAGGCTTTTTCGATGTCAAGGAACACAGAAAAAAAGTATTGTTTGTGAACGAAGGCGTCTCGGATCTGCGCTTCGATACGTACGAGGTGGCCTGTGGTGGATCTACCCTGTAGAAACCCGCATTGGAATGGGTCAAGCAGATTGTTCGTTTCAAGGTAATGTACAAGTCTTCGATTTATCATTTTTTCAAAAAGTTTACACATGCAACTTGTAAGTGCGATTGACCTGTAACTACTAACGAAAGAAGGATCCTTGCTTTGCTTTAAATTAGGATTATTATTGGCTTCTTTCCAGGCAGAAAGGATTTCACCGGAAAAGCAGATAGAATTATACAGCGAAAGCAGGGTATTTTTGTGTTTCAGAAGGCAGTTGTTTTAATCTTTCGTATACTATACGGTTTGAACCTGGAGCTGATTCATTGCATACATGTAGCGATGTTTGTAATTCGGCCAAACTGAAAGGGTTGTTGTGCGACTCATGTTTAGAGTACTTTCGCTGCAATTTCTCTCTTTCGATTTCTCTTTTGTGTCTTTAGAAAGCTGCAGTATAATGCGACGAACTGGACACCTCTTCGAAGTGGGCACCGAGGAAGTTCGCCTGGTCTTTCGACGTGACCCCTTGTGTGTCTACGACAGGTAGTGAAGATGCGTGTCGTCCTGTTACCTTGCGAACCATGTCCCAGACTTTAGCTTCTTGTGTATATGAAGTGATGCCAGATAAAAACTTGTGGCAGCTTTCTCTCCTAGCCTGCCGGTGCGTTCTCCTGCCTTGGGACTTGATTTTATTAAAGCTTTCAAGATTTTCTGCTGTCGGCGAGTCCCGTAGCAATCTCCACGCTTTGTTTTGTGTTTTCCGTGCATTGCGACATTCAGTGTTCCACCATGGGACACGTCATTTGCCAGGCAGTCCAGAAGTTTGAGGGATGCATTTCATCGCAGCGTCGGTCAGAAAAGCATAAAAGTATTGTGCAGCTGCATCTATGTTTAAACCAGATAGGTCAGTCCAACTTGAGTGTGTAATCTGCGAGAACTGTTCCCACTCAGCATTGTCAGTGATCCATCTGGGGACCTGTGGGCGATATTCATTTGATATGGGTGTGATTAGCGTTAAGCGAAAGTGGTCATTTCCTTAAGGATTATTGATGACCTTCCATGCCGGTAAAGAAAAAAGGGATGCTGAGACAATACCGAGGTCTTTTGGCGAGTAGGTGTTGTTGGCTAGGCAGTTCTATGTGCACCCTTCCTAATTTAGAAGACACGCGCCAGAAGTGAAAAGGAGCTGTACAATGAGGCGACCTCGAGCATTGCAGCAGGGCTCACCCCAGAGATTGCTTTGTGCATTGAAATATCCAAGGAGAAAATAAGGTTCTGGTAGTTTATCTATTAGGAACTGGACTTCACATTTTTCAAGATAGTAGTGTGGAGGCATGTCGACAGTGCAGATGGTGACGAGTTTGTTCAGAAGAGCTACACGAATAGCAACTGCTTCAAGTGATGTTTCAAGTGGCGAGTGGTATATGAGTGCATGCAATTCCTTGATCGACTCACCCAACCACACTACGAGATTACGTGACGGCTTCATTCCTGTCTTTTTGAAAAATGATATGCAAGCGTAGAAAATTAGTGATCTTGGGTTTTAGGTGTGTTTCTTGTACACACAGCACTTCAGGTGACCGTTTATGTAAAAGTTCTTGAACATTGTCAAGGTTTCTCAGGAGTGCTCTGACGTTCCACTGTAAATTTTTTGTCTTTGTTTTTATGTTAGCTAAGTGCTGTGTGTACAGAAACGTTGCCTTAGGTTACAGGGCCTGTAGGGGGCCCTGTAATACAGGGTTTCTCTTTATTGTTTTGCTCGAAAGAGCCGCGCCTTTCCTTCGGCGTCTGGGGCGCTGGAGGAGTATGGCTTGTGTCCATCACAGCTTTTTAGGTGGCGGATGGTGCCTGCTTGGCAGGCACGTTCATGGCAGTTTCGGACCAGACTGCAGTTACAGTGGTCCAGGGTCAATGATTGCAATGGTCCGGGGTTGAATGGTGGCCGGTGCGGCTATTAGTACTCGTCATTAGGTTGATTTGCCATGCGATAAGTATGGTATTACTGTACTACTGTGGCCTGCATATTGCGAGTTTAAATGGGGACAGCAGTGGTAGCTGCTCGATGAATACATAAATTTGATTATAATGTCTCATACACGAGTTATGAAATCAAACGGCTGCGTGGAGGACACGGTAGTGTGCAAAAACTTTAGTTACTGCACCATTGATGATGATGATGATGTGTAGGGCTGAATAACGCAAGTTCCTATTGATAGTCAAAGAGCGCTATTTCAGTACACAGGAGATGTGAGCAATGATCTGGTTTGGGGCTCTAAAAAGCCTTAAAATTCCTCGCGCTTACGCGCGTAAAAACAGAGGAGTAATAAAAGCATGACAGTGGCGTAAATTATCTACAGTTAAATCTAAAAGCGAATTGTCGTGACACTAAAACTATGCTGAAAACATAGCCACCGCAGACCCACAGGCGAACCCACAGGTTTACACCCCACCTACTACATTCATATGACATTTGGATATAGCGTTCGCCACGTCCTTCGCTCCACGGAGCAATGTCGTCATTCTCTTACGAAGAGTCAGATGCCGTAAAACATTCAATTTATATATCTACCCGTGGAACAACTACATAGCACGAGTGCACGCACAGGAGAGCCCGGAACGAAAGCCTTGGCTAGAATGCAGATGCATGCATAAGAAGCAGCTTTTATATGCGAAGGATTTCATAGCGAACTTAGAGTCGGCCACTTTGAGTGTATCTATCTCTCTATCTATCTATCATATATCTATCTATTTATCTATCTATCTATCTAATCTATCTAGCCTCTGACGTTTGGGTTGATGATGATATATGTTGTTTAATGGCGCAAGGGCCATTGATGGCCAAAGAGCGCCAGGAAATGATATCGTATGAGAACAATGGTTATGGTAAATGGCTGTAAAAGGGCGTAAAATTCTGCGCTCTAAATATGCGTAAGACATATATTTATTAAAATTATGAAAGTGAAGTGAAGCATGCCTGGTGAGAATGAGTCTTTAGTTATCATGACATCATCAAATAGCAGCTTTATATTAGCACCGATTTCTCGCCAGCGCCCTTGGTCCCAAGGGCCGGGAGACAGGTGCTCTTTTGGATGTAGCATCCGCAGCAGCAGCCTCTTTTCAAAGGCCATGCTACCAATCACTTGAGTAGATAACATGGAAACTTTAAGAATGACTTTAATGCATTATATTTAAAAAGAGGTTAGCGACCAATAAACATAGCTGGGTGAAGGGGTATGTGTTCCTTGTACGCTAGTGGAAAATGTTTTTTCCGGTAAGCATCTAGCTCAGAGCATTCAAGGAGTATGTGAAGTACGGTAAGTGGACGGCCACATCTGTGACAGCTTGGTGGGTCACCACCGGACAAAAGGTTTGTGTGCGTGCTGTGTGTGTGTCCTACTCCAAGCCGACAGAGACTGACCTCTGTACGGCGTGTTTTCGACGTGGGTAGCCAGTTACCGAGGTATAGTTTAATCAACTGTAACTTGTTATGAGTTTGTTGATCCCATCACTTCTGCCAGTAAGCACTCAGCTTTTTCCGTATGTTTGCTTTTAGGTTCATTAAAAAGACAGCAACTGAAAAGTTGGCAGTGCTTCCGTTAATTGACGTGGCGTGCTGGTCAGCCAACACATTTCCTTCAATCTCGCGATGTCCTGGCACCCAGCACACGACGATATGTTGCTTGGAAGTATAGGCCGCACACAGTATTTAATAGATATATATATATATATAAGGTTTCTGTGTTTTTTAAGATTTTTCAATGTTTTTACGACACTCAGGGAGTCTGAGTATATAACTACCTTTGGCGTATTCGATTCTTTGATGTGTTTATCGGCTATGAATAACGCGTAAGCCTCGGCTGTAAAAATGCTTGTGCTGGTGGAAAGAACGGCGGCATCCGAGAAGGATGAGCCGACCGCCGCATAGGAGACGCCAGTATGAGACTTGGATGCATCAGTATAATATTCTGGACAGTCATATTTATGTTGAAGCTCTAAGAAATACATCCAAATGTGTATGGGGGAGGCATGCTTTGTGACAGCTACGAAAGATGTGTCACAGTCTATAACCTGCCACTGCCGTAGCGGGAGCCACAGAGCGGGGGGGCTGAGGTGGTATTCAAGCAGTGGGACATCTGTTTCTTCAGCTAGGTCTGTAACACGGAGCGAGAAAGGGCGTGCCATTGTGGGTCGATTGTAAAATGTTGAGAGCTGGACAGGTCGTTGATGGTGGAATATGCAGGTTGCTCACTGTTCGCATTTACTTTAAGGAAATACATGAAGCAAGAATATGTTCTCTGCAGATGAAGTGACCACTCGTCCGATTCTACATAAAGGCTTTCAACTGGGCTTCTTCTAAAGGCGCCTGTGGACAGGCGGATGCCTTGATGATGAACAGTGTCCAACATTTTCAGAGCGCTTGGCGTGGCAGCGTGATAGACTATTGCCCCATACTCAAGACGTGAGCGTATATGGCTTCTAAACAGATTCATGAGTCACTTTCTGTCGCTGCCCCACATTGTTCGTGACAGCACCTTTAGGATATTCATTGTTTTCAAGCATTTATTTTTAGGATGTTTTATGTGCGGTACGAAGGTTAACTTCCCATCTAAAATTATACCTAGGAACTTATGTTCTGTGTTTACGGGTAGACGTTCACCCTTAACGACCAGTTCAGGATCAGGGTACAAGCCTCTTTTTTGTGAAAAAAGGACACAGGTGCTTTTCTGTGGGTTCAGTTTGGACCCGTTTTCATCAGCCCATTTGGATACCTTGTTAACCCTTTACTGCGCGATTTTTTCTTTTGCCGTGAAATTATTTATGGTGTTGAGGAGAACTATAACAATAACTCCACTAACAAAAAAATACCCGTACTGGACTTCTACAGTTTTTATTTGCAGAAAAAGGGTACGTTGCATTTTTGCAACAGTGCGCACACACAGAAAAAAAATCGAGAAGAAAAAGACCTTTTCATTTAAACTGTAATGTTTATTTACAAGACAGTCCGTGAGGGGGAACAAATTCTACAATAGATAGCTATCTCACTTGATTTCTAGGAAAGGTTTGTTTTATACCAGCCTTTACTGATTACTGCTATACCACTAGAAGTTATCGGTAAGTAATCAACAATGATGGACTCGATTTGTTGTGTGGTACAAAAAAAGCAATTGCTCTTGTTTGTCGAACAGAGGTGCACTTCACACTTTACGCAGTAGCTCATGCAGATTCCCGTGTAGCTTGGAAACTTGCAGCGCTGCCGCTTCTGGTTCCAAAGGAGCCAGTGACCAACCTGGGGAAAGAAATTACAATTATGAGTTCTAAGACAAAGCTCCATAGATAAGACCCCCGCAGGGGCGCCTGCGCAAGTAGGCGTTTGGTGTGTAGCGACACCACGGACCCGAGCTAACGGGGGAGTTTCTACTCCCTCGCACGCCTAGCCGTGCGTGGCTTTGCCGTGTCCGGGGAAAAGGGGATCCTGGGGGTTGAGCCGACGCTGGGTGATTGGACCTTTAAGGCCCCCTGGCAGAGGCAACACACCGCTTTGGCCCCGGCTTCACGTAGACGGCACCCCTGGGCTGACCCACCCAGGGGAAATCGGCAGTCGCCTTTTCCTATCTCTCTCTCCCTACATCTTCGTCTTTCATACTTTTTTAGCTTTCCTGTCTACTTCTCTCTTCTGCTTACTTCCAATTTTCTCGGCGGCAAGGGTTAACCCTGTGCAAATAGCCTACCTTGGCCTATGCGCATTGGGTTATAGCAGGGTTGTACGGCTGACGTCTGCAAGCATTTAGCATCCGAAAACTTGCAGCGTCCCCTCGTTGGGCTCCGTGGTGGGTGGCTGCCAACGCTGCTGAACAACATACAATTAGCATGCAGAAAGCATTTCTTTTACTTAGTGATCGTGCCTCCTCAAAGCGGGTACGCACCGAATACATCAATTTTTTCAACCAGCCAAGACAATTGTTTCCTCGTTTCCAAGTTATACACTGTGAAAAAACTAACAAACAAGCCAGAACTGTATCCCCCTTCATAGTGGCTAGATGCTTAACCGAAACTCTCGGTGCTGGGTACAAGGTTACCAAAATGGCCAGCGGAGATCTACTTCCTGAGATACGTGACAAAGACCAATTCGATAAACTGAACACCCTCACAACGTTTGGAGACACACCCATCAGTATTACGCCACACAGGTCCATGAACTCATCTCGCGGGGTCGTATCGGACGCAGATTTGCTTGACCACACCGAAGCTGAACTTCTGGAAGGATGGAAGAGCCAGAACGTGACAAACGTACAGCGTATTAAGATAAGAAGAGATCAAAAAGAAATACCAACCAAACACTTAGTACTGACCTTTGCTTCGAGCGATTTGCCGGAAACCATTCAGACTGGGTATACAAAGACATCCGTGAGGCCATATATTCCCAACCCCCGCCGTTGCTTCCAATGTCAGAGATATGGCCACGGCTCGCAAAGCTGTCGTGGCCGGAAAACTTGTGCTCTTTGTGGAGTCGTGGGCCATGCCTCCGACAACTGCGAAGCACCTGCACACTGCGTGAACTGTGGTGGTAATCATGCCGCGTACTCGCGTTCCTGTTCTTTCTGGAAAAAAGAAAAAGAGATCATCACTTTAAAGATAAAAGAAAACATTACATTTAAAGAAGCAAGAAAAAGAGTCTCGCCATTTTATGGCCCCACATATGCTGATGCGGCGCGCCAGGGGGCCGTGTCGCACCAGCCCTCGCCACTCCTTCGGCCTGCGCAGAGCGAGCCATTGGCTGTGGCCCCTGCCCCCAAGGCGGCAGTAGTTGAGTCTACTCCGCCTACTATCGATCAGAGACCAGGGACTCCAGGGTCCTCGGGTCTCAAGGCCTCACCTCGCCAGGCGAGGCCCAAGCTTCGAAAAACCAGCTCGCATGAGCGGGCATCCAGTGCCTCCGAGGAGGCAATCAATTCGGCGGCACCCCTGGTGCCAAAGAGCGGCTCGGCTCTCTGGAGCGCGCCAAGAAAACTAAAAAGCTCATAACAGGGCCTGATAATAGCCCTGCTACCTGAGATCGACCTTTCAGCTTAAACAAGTCACTCCCTTAACGTACACACAGCACTACTTTACTTCAATTATGGAAACACAAATTATACATTGGAACGTCAGAGGCCTGCTTAAAAACCTCGACGACGTCCAAGAGCTTTTATACAAACACTCACCTCAAGTGCTGTGTGTACAGGAAACACATCTGAAATCCTCCATTACAAATTTTTTACGTGCTTACGTCATATACCGAAAGGACCGAGATGATGCTGTGGCGTCATCCGGTGGCGTAGCCATCATTATTAACCAAGGAGTAGCGTGTACACATTTACCACTCCAGACATCCCTTGAGGCGGTGGCTGTTCGAGCGGTACTTTTAAACAAACTCGTCACCATCTGCTCTTTGTATGTACTTTCCCACCACCGTCTTGAAAGACGTGAATTTCAGTCTTTAATAGATGAACTGCCTGAACCCTATTTGCTTCTTGGGGACCTAAATGCACCTAGTGGACTGTGGGGCGATTCTCGCTCTGATGCACGAGGTCGTCTCATTGAACAATTTCTCTTCTCTTCCGGTGCCTGTTTGTTGAATAGGAAAGAGCCAACATACTATAACGTTGCCAACAAAACTTACTCGTCTATCGACCTCAGCACCATATCACCTTCACTCCTACCCCTACTCAAACGGAAAACCATAAATAATCTATATGGTAGTGACCATTTTCCTGTAGTGCTGAGTTCACAAACAACATATGAAGGTCCTCTACACGTTCCCAAATGGCTGATAAACAAAGCAGACTGGGAACAGTTCCATAATACTACACGTTTGAGTTGGACAGACATATGTAGGTTAAACATAGATGAAGCTGTGCAGTATTTCACAGCTTTTCTAACTGACGCAGCAGCCAGGTGCATAACGCAAACATCTGGAATGCCCGGCAAACGACACGTCCCATGGTGGAACACGGACTGTCGTAATGCGCGAAAGGAACAGAACAGGGCATGGAGATTGCTGCGCAACTCTTTAACAGCGGAAAATCTTGACACGTTCAAGAAAATAAAGTCTAAAGGAAGGAGAACGCGTGGGCAGGCCAGAAGAGAAAGCTGGCAGAAGTTTTCGTCAGGGATCAATTCATACACACAGGAGGCAAAAGTCTGGAACATGGTCGGTAGGATAGCAGGGAAACAAGTACACACACTTCCACTCGTAAACACTCAAGGTGATACCTTGGAAGATCAGGCAAACTTCCTCGGTGCACACTTTGAACGGGTATCCAGCTCGTCCCACTATACTGACACTTTCCAAAAATACAGAACAAGATTAGAAAAGCAGAAACTCGAACACAAATCCACTAGATACGCGGCATATAACCAAGCTTTCAGTCTAGCGGAGCTCCGAATATCTCTAAACTCCTGCAGCACTTCTGCCCCAGGTTCTGACCGAGTGGTGTATGAAATGCTAAAAAACCTACCAGCCGAAACACGAAAAACCCTACTTTGTTTGTACAATGTTATCTGGTTTTCTGGCACTATCCCTACCTCCTGGAAAGAGGCTATTATTATTCCCATTTTGAAAGAGGGCAAGGACCCTTCTTTACCCTCGAGTTATAGGCCTACAGCACTTACAAGCTGCTTGTGCAAAGTCTTCGAAAAAATGATAAACTGCCGACTTGTACATTTTCTTGATACAAACAATTTGCTCGACCCATTTCAGTGCGGGTTTCGAGAAAATACATCCACCACAGACCACCTTGTTCGTATCGAGGCACAGATCAGAGACGCCTTTGTCCATAAACAATATTTTCTCTCTGTGTTCCTCGATATCGAAAAGGCGTATGATACAACATGGCGTTTCGGAATTCTAAGAGACCTGTCCCACCTTGGTGTGCGCGGAAGAATGTTTCATATAATCGAAAGTTACCTGTCAAACCGGACATTCCGTGTCTGTCTGGGCAGTGTGCCCTCTCAAACATTTGTCCAGGAAACAGGCGTGCCACAAGATGGCGTGCTTAGTTGCACACTTTTTATTATCAAAATGAATTCTTTGCACTTGTCCATTCCCCGCAATATGTTCTATTGTACATATGTCGACGACGTTCAGCTTGGCTTCAAGTCATGCAACTTGGCCATGTGTGAGCGGCAGGTTCAGCTGGGTTTAAAAAAGGTCTCCAAATGGGCAGATGAAAACGGATTCCGACTTAACCCACAAAAAAGCACGTGTGTCTTGTTCTTTCGAAAGAGACGCATGCACTCGGAACCTGACATTCGACTGAACGGGCAACGTCTGTCCTTCAAAGCCGAGTATAAATTCTTAGGCTTAATCTTGGACAACAAGTTGACCTTCGTACCGTACATCAAGTATTTAAAAACAAAATGTTTAAAAGCCATGAATGTTATAAAAGTGTTGTCACGTACTACGTGGGGTATGATAGGCAATGCCTCATGAACCTCTATAAAAGCCTCATTCGCACCCGCTTAGATTATGGGGCCGTTGTCTATCAGTCTGCTACTCAAAGTGCCTTGAAGATGCTGGACCCCGTGCTCCATTTGGGCATCCGCCTTTCTACGGGTGCTTTTCGCACCAGCCCCGTAGAAAGCCTTTATGTTGAGTCAAATGAGTGGTCGCTTCATCTGCAAAGAACCTACATGTCCTTTGTATACTTCCTTAAGGTGAAAGCAGACAAGAGGCACCCCTCATGCTCTACTATTAATGACTTGTCGAGCTCCATTCTTTTTCAAAACAGGCCTTCAATGAGGCAGCCCTTCTCAGTTCGCCTGAAGGGTCTAGCTGAGGACACTGGAGTGTCACTCGAACACAGTTTAATGGCTCCTGTAGCATACCCGCCACCGTGGCAGTGGCAGACTATAGACTGCGATGTGTCTTTTCTAGAAGTTACAAAACATGCGCCCATTGCCCATATCCGAACATATTTCCTGGAACTTCAACACAAATGCACATGTCCTGAGTTTTTTACAGATGCCTCTAAGTCTAACTCCTCTGTGTCCTACGCTGCTGTTGGCCCTTCCTTTTCGGATGCTGGCCCTCTACATCCAGGCACAAGTATCTTCACAGCGGAAGCTTACGCGACACTTGTGGCAGCTAAACACATTAAACAATTACAAATACAAAAAGCAGTAATTTATACAGACTCCCTCAGTGTGGTAACGGCTCTGCACAGTCTTAAAAAACAAAAAAACCCTGTCCTTGTCTCACTTTACTCCTTATTTTGCACACTATACACACTCAACCAACATGTTGTGGTGTGCTGGGTGCCAGGGCACCGTGAGATCCAAGGCAACGTGAGGGCGGATCAGCTCGCTGCATCCGTCCACAAAAACACTGCCCCTACACCCATATCAATCCCGGTCCTTGATCTGAAGCCGTCTCTCAAACGAAACCTCAGGGACTACTGGTAGAGCAAGTGGGATACACACACACAAAACAAACTACACGTTATCAAGCCACACTTTGGCCATTGGCCACCAGTATCAAAATCACGTCTAACAGAGGTAACACTGGTATAACTATCATTTAAAGCGCACGAAAAACAAACATAAAGAAAGGACAAGCGCTTGTCCTCTCTTTATGTTTGTATTTCGTGCGCTTTAAATGATAGTTATACCATGCATATCCAACTAGCCCAACTTTCGATTCTGTTGCAATTCAGAGGTAACACTAACAAGACTCAGGATAGGACACATATACACGACACACACACATCTTTTGTCCGGTGGTGATCCACCATTGTGTGATAAATGTGGTGAGGCATTAACAGTTCTTCACGTTTTAATTCAATGTAAACATTTAGACACTCTAAGAAGACAACACTTCCCACTATCCTACCGACAACATATACCTTTACACCCTGCAATGTGCGTCGGTAGGGAACCGCTTTTTAGTCACAAATGATTATTAGCGTTTTTAAAGGAAATTCATAATTTTCCTATCATATACCCGGGCATACCGTAGCACGACCTCTCTAGAGAGGTTTTTGCTGCGGTGGCTACACAGGAAAGCACTTGCCTCACGGCCCTTGCACGCAAGGGTACTAACGTGTGAGGTACTTGTGCTAATGCCATACATGTCCACCATCGTTTTTCATTATCACCAACTTTTGTCACCTATTCACACCATGCACACCTTTCACGGCATAGTCATGATTTTATTACTTGTATGTTTTTACCCGCTTTACTGCGAGGAATTTTATGGCCCTTATACAGCCGCTAATCACAACCATTGTCCACATTCCTGTCTCATGAACTGGTGCTCTTTGGCCATCAAATGGCCCTTGCGCCAAAAAACACCATATATCATCATCATCCATAGCTAAGAAATAATACCTGATCTAGCCGGACGTCTTTAGTTGGAGCTGGATCTGTTGGTCCCCTTTTTCTCTTCTCCTGAGAGGCTTGTTCTATTGACTCGTTGCTAGGCCTTCCTCGCTTCTTCACCACCGTCTTCCCAGCCTTGCAGAGTGATGCAGCCAGGTCCATCTTGAAGTCGGCCCTTTCTGCGTACTCATCTTTTTTGCTCAAGGCATTCCTCTTGTATAGCAACCAAGCATTTACAGCTGTCAAGTCAAGGATGTTCAGAAAAACACGAAAATAGTATCGCTTTAATTTCAGGTAGGGACGGTGAACGGAGATGAGGGAGTCTAAAAGGTCTACACCGCCCTTGTGCTTGTTGTAGATGGTGATAACTACAGGGCACGGTATCTCACTTCGCTCCTTTTTCTGACGATTGTACCTTGATGCCCTTGCAGCAGCCTCTGCTCCAATGAAGGAGGATAGAAGGGTCACTGCTCGGTTATCTTGCTACCTTGTACATGACAGTTCAATTCCATCCACAACTTCCACCCTTTCTTTGAAGTGTCCTCTCCCTTTTTTTCATTTCCTGCTCATCAGGCAGGCTCACTCCAGGAACCCGGTTTATCCGCACTGTTCCAATGCAGTGAACTGAGTCCTTCTCTAGGTACACTTGCAAACTTGGGCAGTTAAAATAGTTGTCAAAGTACAATTTGTGGTGTACGCCTCTCGGAACCGTTCTACACAAGCGAACGACATTTCCACTCGCTCCACCATCAGGCTCCCCTGAACGTCTTTGCGCCGAGTTCTCCTGCCCGGTATATACCTCCAATTTGTAGGAGAAGCCGCTTACACCGGAGAGTACGAAAACTTTGTAACCCCATTTCTTGGGTTTCTTGGGGCAGTACTGCTTGAGGGAGCTTCTGCCTTTGAAGGGTATAATCTGTTCATCGATAGATAGATGCTCTTCAAGAGGCACAAGTGACAACTGTTCATTCATGGTATCAATCAGAGGCCTCACCTTCGCAAGCCGATCTCTTCCTGGAGCGTCCTTTGGGCCGAGAGTACTATTGTCTACGAAGTGAATGTTATGCTTCAGTTTTTCGAAGCGACCCACAGGAAAGTTGTCAGCAACTTGGCTAACCCTGGTCACTGCGTTCCAGTACCACCTTGTGTTCCTCATTTGAATGATCGACATCCACATGCATGTTCCAATAAACTCTTCGATCTCTTCTGCAGTAGTACAAAGGGCTGACTCACGTCTTTCTGGAGTGCAAACAAATTGCTCTGATCTGCAATTAGTGAAATCAGCGGGCCAGCAAAAAGAAACTTGAAGTGTTGGAATGGTGTCTCTAGTTCTACAATGAACTATAGGAGTTCACTTTGCCCGGAGAACTGAACTGTCTGTGGATCTCTTATTAGATTCGCCTTCTTCCAAGTCATGCGTCTTTTAGCTTGTGTGGGGTGGTGGTCAGATGTTCCCCCATATTGGTGTAGCTTCGTCCTCGTCTGAGCAATGCACTCGACTCGTTTGTGCTGTCATTTAGGCTTTCGCCGTCAGGTGCGACATATGTAGTGGAAACAGACAGCGATATGCAGGACCTAAAACTAGAGGTAAAATAAAGTGAAATGCACGTATAGAAAACAGTGTGCATCTGTATTTTCAAATCCGACGAAACCCCTAGGCGCGGTGTCTTCGCGTTATAGACAAAAATTTAAAACGCAGGAGCACAGACATATGGGTGCAGCCGTAACGATGCGGGGCAGCCGCGGGCGTATGCACACACAATTATAAAAAAATTCCCGAATTCCACCATGCAACACACTGCACACACGATGAATCGAAAACACTTACACTCTGGATCGTCGTCACTACCAGAAAGTTCACTGTCTTCACTATCAGAAGGGATTGCTCGGCCATAAAAACATTTAGGATCCATGTCTAGTTTGAGAGAAAAAAACAAACATGATGAGCACGTTGTTGCATATACGCAACTTAGCAACTTTCTGTCGCAAGGAACACACTATTCCGTAAACAACGTTTTCTGCAATCTACACAATTAGGAGGATGTGCCGAAGGGCCTAACAGCTCTTTCCGCGGTTGAATTCGTCCAGACAAACATTTATAACTTGCAAATCTTACCTGTGTAGCTCCGTGCTGGCGCGAGCAGCGTCCACCATGTTTGTTTGGCAATAGTTGAGCAGGATTAGCACAGGAGGCAGCACAAGACGCCGCGTTTTTCAAACTGGTGTTGCAGAAATGCAACAGCATGCATAGAAGGGACCAAATGAAAGTAGCTTTCGATTTTATAGCTGTTTATAGGTGTGTTGCGTAGATGCAACAAGGTGCAGTAAAGGGTTAAGGGCGAGCTGAACCTGTCGCTCACAAAACCCAAGAGAAAAAGATTGAAAACCTATCTGCACATCGTCGACATATGTTCAATAAAAGATGTACGTGGGATGTACAGACGGAGAGAATTCATTTTTATAATAAAGAGCGTACAGCTGAGCACCCCACCCTGTGGCACTCCGGCTTTCTGTACAAATAATCGGGATAGATCATTGCTAACTCTAACGTGGAAGGTACGATCAGACAGATAGCTTTCAATGACACTGAACATATTACCGTGTATACCTATGTGTGAGAGGTCTCTCAATATTCCAAACATCCACGTAGTATCGTAGGCCTTCTCCATGTCGAGGAACACAGATAAGAAAAACTGATTATGAACAATAGCCTCACGTATGTGCGCCTCGATACGTATAAGATGGTCGGTAGTAGATCGGCCCTCTCTAAACCCGCACTGGTATAGGTCGAGCAATTTGTTTGTTTCTAAGTAATGAAGTAAGCGGCAATTAATCATTTTTTCAAATAGTTTGCAGAGGCAGATTGTTAACGATATAGGTCTGTAACTTGATACAGTTGAGGGATCCTTTGCCTGCTTCAGAACTGAAATTATAACAGCCTCCTTCCATTCGTGCCTTGTAATTCTGGAAGGATTCGGAGTTGTGTGAGGAGCTCGATATGTGTTCGAAATGTGTGCCAAGAAAGTTGGCTTGATCCTCCAAGCTTTCCCCGAGGCTATTTACTAGTGGAAGGGAATACGTTTGTTGGCCCTTAATTTTCTTTACCTTATTTCACACTTTTCCCTCATCTGTATACGAGTTGATACTCGATATAAACTTTGTCCAGCTCTCTCGTCAAGCTTGTCGACGTGTTCTCTTTGCCTGCGATTTGACCCGCTTGAAGTTTTCCAGGTTTTCTGCTGTAGGGGAATCGCGAAGCAACGCCCATGCTTTGTTCTGAGTTGTCCGTGCTTTCCTGCATGCGTCGTTCCACCATGGGACTCGCCGTTTAGAAGACATGCCGCTCGTTTTGGCAATACATTTAGATGAGGCATCAAGTATAAAAGCTGTAAAATACGTAACAACGTCATCTATGGTCAGGGCAGACTGCTCAGTCCGTGTCATGTGTGTTAGAGTTCTACACCCTTCTCAATCAGCTGAGTCAATCTTCCATCAAGGAACCTGCGGGGGTAGTTGATCTTTGTTCGCCGCACTCAGAATGATTGGGAAGTGGTCACTACCATAAGGGTTTTTAAGAACGTTCTACTTAAAGACAGGTAAAAGGGACGGTGGCGAATTGCTAAGATCTATGGAGGAGCTGATAATGATATATGGTGTTTTTTGGGGCAAGGCCCATTTGATGGCCAAAAAGCGCCAGTAAATGAGACAAAAGATGTGGACAATGATTGTGAATAGTGGCTGTATAAGGGCGATAAAATTCCTCGCGGTAGGGCAGGTAAAAACATACAAGTAATAAAATCTTGCCCATGCCGTGAAAGGTGTGTGTGGTGCGAATAGATGACAAATTTGGTGATAATAAAAACGATTGTGGTGTAGGGGCAGTGCTTTTGTGGATGGACGCAGCGAGCTGATCCGCCCTCACGTTGCCTGGGATCTCACGGTGCCCTCACCCAGCACACTACAACATGTTGTTTGAGTGTGTAGAGTGTGCACAAAATTGGATAAAGTGAGACAAGGATTGGTTTTTTTTTTGTTTTTCAAGACTGTGCAGAAACGTTACCACACTTAGGGAGTCTGTATAAATTACTGCTTTTTGTATTTGTAATTGTTTGATGTGTTTAGCTGCCACAAGTATCGCGTAAGCTTCCCCTGTGAAGATACTTGTGTCTGGATGTAGAGGGCCAGCATCCGAAAAGGAAGGGCCAACAGCAGCGTAGGACACAGAAGAGTTAGACTTAGAGGCATCTGTAAAGAACTCAGGACGTGTATATTTGTGTTGAAGTTCCAGGAAGTATGTTCGGATATGAGCAATAGGCATGTTTAGTAACTTCTAGGAAAGACATATCGCAATCTATAGTCTGCCACTGCCACGGTGGCAGGTATGCTACAGGAGCCATTAAACTGTGTTCGAGTGACACTCCAGTGTCCTCAGCTAGACCCTTCAGACGAACTGAGAAGGGCTGCCTCATCGAAGGCCTGTTTTCAAACAGAATGGAGCTCGGCAAATCGTTAATAGTAAAGTATGAGGGGTGCCTCCTGTCTGCTTTCACCTTAAGGAAATATACAAAGGATATGTAAGTTTTTTGCAGATGAAGCGACCCCTCATTTGACTAAACGTAAAGGCTTTCTACGGGGCTGGTGCGAAAAGCACCCGTAAAAAGGCGGATGCCCGAATGGTGCACGGGATACAGGATCTTCAAACCACTTTGAGTCGCAGACCGATAAACAACGGCCCCATAATCTAAGCGGGTGTGAATGAGGCTTCTATACAGGTCCATGAGGCATTTCCTGTCACTACCCCACGTAGTACGTGACAACACTTTTATAACATTCATGGCTTTTAAACGTTTTATTTTTAAATACTTTATGTGGGGTACGAAGGTCAACTTGTTGTCCAAGAATAAGCCTAGGAATTTATGCTCCGCATTGACAGACAAGCGTTGGCCGTTCAGTTCAATGTCGGGTTCTGAGTGCGTGCCTCTCTTTCGGGAGAACAAAACACACGTGATTTTTTCTGGGTTCAGCCGGAATCCGTTTTCTTCTGCCCATTTGGAGATCTTGTTTATACCTAACTGAACCTGCCGCTCACACATTGCTAGGTTGCATGACTTGAAGCCAAGCTGGACGTCATTGACATATGTGAAATAGAACATGTTGCCTGGGATAGACAGGTGCAAGGAATTCATTTTAATAATAAAAAGATTGATATGTGGGGTTTAACATCCCAAAACCACCATATGATTATGAGAGATGCCGTAGTAGAGGGCTCCGGAAATTTTTTCCACCGGGGGTTCTTTAACGTGCACCCAAATCTGAGCACACGGGCCTACAACATTTTCGCCTCCATCGAAAATGCAGCCGCCGCAGCCGGGATTTGAACCCGCGACCTGCGGGTCAGCAGCCGAGTACCTTAGCCACTAGACCACCACGGCGGGGCAATAAAAAAAAGTGTACAACTGAGTACAACACTTGTGGTACTCCCGTTTCTTACACAAATGTTTGCGAGAGAATATTGCACACACGGACAAGGAATTTCCGATTCGACAAGTAACTCACGATTATGGGAAGCATTCTACCGCAAACACCCAGGTGAGACAAGTCTCTTAATATGCCAAAACGCCATGTTGTGTCGTAAGCCTTCTCGATATCGAGAAACACTGAGAGGAAGTATTGTTTGTGGACGAAAGCGTCTCGGATCTGTGCCTCAATACGCGCCAGATGGTCGGTGGTAGACCTACTTTCTCGAAACCCGCACTGAAATTTGTCGAGCAGATTGTGCGTTTCAAGGAAATGTAAAACTCGGCGGTTTATCATTTTTTCAAAAAGTTAACAAAGGCAGCTGGTTAGTGCAATGGGCCTATAACTTGAAACTGGGGAAGGTTCTTTGCCCTGTTTCAAAATAGGTATAACAATAGCCTCTTTCATGGAAGCAGGGTTGGTGCCTGAAAGCCAGATAGCATTGTATAGAAAGAGTAAAGTTTTTCGCGTTTTGAGCGGCAGGTTTTTCAACATTTCATATGTGACACTGTCGTAGCCTGGGGCAGAATTACTGCATGAGTTTAGTGATGTTTGTAGCTCAGCTAAGTTGAAAGATTGGTAGTATGCCTCGTAATTTGTGCGCTTGAATTCTAGTTTCTGCTTTTCTATATTTGCTTTGTATCTTTGGAAAGCTTCAGTGTAG